TTGAAAAACAAACCATATTTTAAATATTTTTATAAACAAAGTTATCTAAACTTTTTTAAATTTTCAAACCTATTCAAAATCAATTTATTCATGTCCCAAAATTGTATTTTATTCTCAATTTGTAAATAATTATTTATCATATACCAATAATCTATTGGTGATCACAAGCAAAACCAAAGAATTCTTTGTCTAGAAGAGAGAAGTTTTCGAATGCCTAATAAGTTGTACGCATGAAATTTCAGATTTTTTCTTTATTATCCTGAAAAACTGGTTGAGTTTAAATTATTACGAGTTGGAAAACGTTTTAGTATGTGTACCCTGTACACACGTAACAAGGCTTCTTGCATACCTATGTCTGGATAGAATACAAATGCTTAATTACAATTAATAAGAGGCACAGGTGAGAATTCATAATACATTGGATATAGATTTCCATATATTTTAAAAAAATGTAGGAAATTGATTTGAAACAAAATATATGTTTAATAATAAGTTCTAATTCATTTTTTCATCGTGAGTTTGTTGCCAACAATCACACAAAATTATTATTAGTGATAATTTTTAGGACTAATTAAGTAGGTACTTGAAACTATAAATATGTATGTAAACATAACAACATAAAATCGATACTGTGTTAACTTGAGTTATAATAACAATTATGGTAATCTACATATTACATAGTTCCAAAACCAAATATTTTTCTTTGAGTTAGATTGTCTTAAATATATTGTCCGAGTAACATAAGATGAGGAGCCAATTGGCAACAATTACTATATATGAGAACTTCTGATTTTGTTAGAGGTTTGATTAGTTAGAGACAAATTAAGGCATGCTAGGATTTTTGTTCAAAAATATTAATAATTTTAAGATATTATTTATTTCATTTATATAAAAATATTTAAAGAGTGACTTGGATTCAAGAACGTTTCCACGAATTACCTATATATGAACACTTCTAATCTTTGTTAGAGGATTGATTAGCTAGAGACAAATTGTTTCAAATAAGATGTGCTAAGATTTTTGTTCAAAAATATTAATAATTTTCAGACATTATTTATTTCATTTATATAAAAATATTTAAAGAGTGACTTGGATTCAAGAGCGTTTCCACGAATTACCTATATATGAGAATTTTTGGTCTTTGTTAGAGGATTGATTAGCTATTAGAGAGAACAAATTGTTTCAAATAAGGCATGCTAAGCTTTTTGTTCAAAAATATTAATCGTCTAAAGATAGCACGTGCAATTTTGAAAGAAGTGATAGAGTATATTTATTTTCATGTGTATATTTATATGCCATGCAGTTTATTACATTCTGAAAAAGGTGTCCAAGATTTTTTGAGATTGTGCAAAATTATTAACTATGTTTCTGTCGCCTAACTAGTTAGGAATGCCGTCGTTGTACAAAATACACTTATCTTGAGTAATTTCTATGCTAATTTCAATTTTGCAAATAGTTTCCTGCGTAAGTAATTATGCATATCTAATTGTGCGTATTTTGCCAAAAAGAATGATAAATACTTTGCATAATTTAAATTACCCCATCGTAGTCTACATTTATAAATTACCTTTCTACATATTTTTAGGCCTTTAAGTCTTTACCAGGATTCATTTTATTAAAATTATTTTATGTTATCAAAGCTTTGCTAGTTGTTTCTTTACCAGTCTAGAATACTCTAACACTGAAATACAAACGCTATCGAACAATCTTTTTGTTTAACCACCCAATAAATTTTACCCAATACCTTCATAATTATTATTTAAAATTTAATTACTATATATTTCAACAGGTAAACCTGATCGTATCTATTAGAAATTCAAATTTAGCATAAAACAATAGGCGCACAACAAATACTTGTGGCTAATAAATAGGTTTCCATAGAACTCATTATGACCGCCCATGGTCCAATAAAAAGTAATTCGTGAAAACGCTCTTGAATCCAAGTCACTCTTTAAATATTTGTACAGAAAAGACATGAATCATTCTCCTTAAATGTTTGTGCCAAATTGTGCCAAGATCTTTTTTGAACAGCAATACCCAGAAGTTCAATCACTGGATTCATATTTGATTTAGATATTTTTTAAGTACTAACAGAAATTTGCCTAAAATGTCCCTGATTGCAATAGACGGAGATATTAAAAAAAGCAAAAGAACTTGAAGCTTTATAAATTATTGAGATGATACTTCTATTATATGCAATGTGCTCTTTTCCAAATATTGATAATATATTTTAACATGTAGCAGCAATTGCTGAAAATGCTAATTCGACTTGGGTTTTTTTTTTCAAGTAAAAATGGATAAAGAAAAAAAAATAAATACAAATAAATACTTATTATATATTTTATACCTAAAGCTTATAGGAAATTTCTGAAGACTATTCACCACTGTACAATCATTAGACCTTAATATAGAGAAACATATGCTAAATATTTAACTAAAATAGATTTTATGCCTGAGGCAAAACTCTAGATTGAAATTTTAATTTTAGTTTAATAATTAAATTTAAGATTTAATAATTAGCATAACATAAAATACTGACATGATAATAATAATAATTTATTTTTAATTTTGTTTGCAAACGTTTAATTAAAAAACCATCGATTATTACATCTCTTAGAATCGATCAATCAAGTATTCTCATAAAAAAAATATAATTCACAAACACACTTTTCGATTTAATTTCATTCCATCATCTATAAACACCACAAAATCATATTCTGTATACTAACTAAAAAAATCACACTATCCAAATAATTTAATAATGTAAACTAATATTTAAATTGTAGACCAACAATTGTATAAATTGTAGACCAACAATTGTCTAAATTGTAGGTTTAAAATCACATGAGTTTAAATTAAACTAAAATGCTCATGTTCATTTATTTAGTTTATTTCAAACTAATGTAAATACTTTTCAAATTTTAGTTTGTTTACTTTTCTTAAATAACAACAAGGTAACAAAAGGAACAAAAAAATTATGTTATAATAAGATAAAAAAAATAATTTAGATTTCACTCCAAGAAGACAAGTCTATAATTTTGTACATCTAAACTCAAATAATGATTAAATATTTTATTCACAAAAATATGCAAGACTACGTTTATCATTTTTGTATATATTTATTTCAATTCCAATTATTGTTGATTAATTCTTTTACATTTTGATTGAATAATAATTTATCATAACGTGCTATTGTTCCAAAGGTTCACAAAATCATCAGATTTAAAATAGTGATACTAATCATTATATTTTATTTTTAAAAATGATAAAAAGAATTATGTCAAGTTGTATTTATCAACCACGTAAATCTTTGACTTTAGAGCATGATGTGCAAATAAATATAAATAACAAACTGTCTTCAAATAACGCAGTATAAAAACGTTGTAATAATATCAGGAAATCTTAAAAATCTGTAATTAAAAATTGTTTAAAATACCAAGTAAAAACTTAATATTACTAGAATTATTGCTCCCATTTCGATACAAATACAATCTATACATTCATTTACCTTTAACAATATAAATAGTTCTATACATTACACATTAAATTTATTACAGTAATAATATAACAAAAGTAATGATCATTAATATTTATTTTATGAATGGAATAATTGCATTCAGTAATCAAAGATTTAAGATTGAGAGTAAGAATATGACAAGATTACAATATAAATCCTATATGTGGAGCACAATGTACCCATTAATTTTGCTAGTGAAACAATTTTAATTACATATTATAAAAGTATTTATACAACTTAGATAATGTGATAATAAATTTTATGCGAGGTATATTATTTTAGGTCATATATAAATATATTTGTAATAACTATAAAGATAAATAGGATAAAAAAATTCTACAATAATGAATTAGCAGGGTTTTTACTGAACATAGTCAGATAGTTGTTAATTTGATATGTGTTAATAGGTTGTGATATAATTGATTTACCCTCCCTACCTTATAATTGTAGATTTCACATGATTCATATTTTCCTATGCCTTTTACTATCTAACTTATTTCTATTCCATTTATGGAAAAATCTGTATATTGTTCTTCAACTTACAATTTGCATATATTTCTAGTTTATTATGGTTGCCGATATGTAGGTATTTATTTAAAGCATTTCTTATACTTGTATATTGTTGTTTTCAACAATTTGCATTTGCACTTTGTTCACGAGCTCTAGTTAAACGTTGTATTTAATATGCATATTAGGAAAATAATGTATTCATCCTTGACACAAAACCATTTCTTTTTCATCGGAACTTTGCTCTGCAAAAAATGCAGAACTGCTTTCGTAACCGACTGAAGACTATAATGAGATAAATGAGGATGTGGATGGTTTTAAACCATCCAGGCGTATTTAAAAAAGCCCATATGGTAGTAATTTTATAGTTAAATAAGTTAAATATGCATTTTATATCAAATATTTTCGAAATTTTATAATTGTTGTTTTTTTAATACCTAATGAACAATGGCTACTTTGAGGTAAAAACCCCTATTTTAGTAAGCAAAGAGTTGTGGGAAAATCGAGACATTGGGAAAATTTTTGTGAAAAATAATTTATTATTGACAAATCTGAAAGTAAAAAACTAGCAATAAAACTTGGGTGGTTTTTTGGAGGGACTATGATTAAGGGACTAAATCGCAGGTTTTCAAAGTCATGAGTCTCTACCAGCAATTTTTAGGTTAAAGAGGTACAATTAGTTAGAATCTCATTTCTTCGATGCCTTTTGTTTGTAGATCAAATAAATAAATCATACTTTTTTATAGGGTATTAATTGTAAATTTTCTGATTTAAAAGATACTGTACTGGAGTCACCTTTATGCCATTATCTGCTGATTATTATGATTTCACTGTAATTATAATGTCATTTTAAACAGCCACAATTTTATATTCAACTATATTCCTTCAATATTACTTGTATTTGTATCTATATTTAATATTAAAGTAGTATATTTAATTAAATATATTTTAACTAATTTTTATTTTTTATTTACAGTTTGATACCTATGTTAGATCACTGCACATAGATCCAGAATCACCACATTTTCGAATTATCACAGATGGCCAACCACCACTTAGGTATGAATTTAATATTATTGTTAGAATAAATATTAAACTATTTATTATAATTATAATTCCAGTGCATTAGGTTGAAATAATTATTTAAATTTTTTTATACATTATACATGGTATTTGTAATGATATTTTTTTAAATTGTATATTATCAGTAAGTTATTTTTTATCTAAGGAGAAATAAAATCACAATGATTACTTTTGAAAATGATATTTATTAGACAGTTTGCAAGATCAGTATATGTATTTGTAGCTTGTAAATGATCATTTTTTTACAAAAAATTCTAATGTTACTTTTTAATCAATTTAACACACGAAATAGTATAGAATTAATCTTTAAACTACACTGTTTATATGATTTCACTTTGCTCATCATAAACTATTATTTTTAGTGAATCTTAAATAGTATTAAAATTGTACTGTGGATTGTACTCACGATGGACGATTTTTTTTAATGATTTATTTAAATTCGAAACTAATTTAATTTAGATTTATCAAAAACTATCAAACAAAAATCAAACAAAAATAGGATAAATTCTGAAAATCATTTATGAGCTTTCTGAATAATTAGTTTATATTTTCTTAAATTAATAAATATTCTTTATGCAAAATCTACTATAAGGCAGTACGATTATTTAAAAGTTGTTTATTTTTTTAAATGATTTGAACATTAACTAAATACAAACATGAAGAATTACTGCTTACCAGGTCTCACTTTTTTCAAGAGATATTATCAAAATGTCTATTCATTATTATTTAGCAAACTCCAATTATTTGTTGATGAAATAAAATTGCATACTTTCTATTATTTTCATTAATGATGTATGATGTAATTATACAAATTTTAAACAAACTTGGACAAGTGAATTTAGTAAATTGATTTATTACAGTAGTTTCCAACCATTTTCTACCAGTTTTTTATTTTTTTTAATTTTTTTTTTGCGATCTCTTGTTGTTTCTACAATCTAATTAAAATTAGATTGCTTTTAATTCAGTGATTTTAAATAGACTTTCGCAGTTTATATCACGACGTATCACCAAAGGGAAATGAGTGTGCAATAATCCCTAAAAAATCGATCACTTCGATCGTTTTTAGTACCAAGAAACAAGTATATCATACCGTTGCCATAACAACGCTATGTTATCATCTATTTTACCGCAAAACTGCCCCTCTATATTTTTATATATAAAACAATATTTTTTACCCAGACAATGCCTGCACCCGGAAGCGTGCGCAAAGGGCATCGAACTTCCGTCCTATTACTGCCGTTTCCACGACCTTCGCAAAGAGTTCCGGTCCCATGTGCTGTCTTCTTCCGGCGGTCACCAGGGCACACCAGGACAGGATCTGTCGCGTGCGTTGGTACCATTGCGCAACGCCGGACAATTGCAAGCGGATCTATTGGTAGCGGACAGGGCAGCCACATTTACCACACCGACGTGTTTAAAAGATATGCTGGATCGTATCCTTTTGTAAATGATACATAATAATTAATTAATTGATTATTAAATAATTATTATTATTTAATATTAAGAGGCTGATTCTCGTATAAAATATCTCAAAAAATTAAAATAACTCAAAAAATCCTCGAAAAAATCAAACCATGATAACAGAACAGATAACATTTTAAACATTCTTTTAACTTTTACAACGCTAGTATACTTTATCACGAACGGAACATTATTCAGAGGAGGTTTGCTGAATCTTGTCTAATCAGTATTAATAAATCTTGCATTAATAAAAGGTGTGATGCCTCCTTACTCTGATCTATGATTTATGATATTGCTATGTTACGGGTGTATATTCGTATGAGATGGTTGTCAAAAAGCTATGTATTTGCTGTGCGAAGTTAGTTTTACACACAAAACCTAACTTCATGTATGTGTTATCGAAGAGACACCAGGAAGTTGCACTTCTGATAAAATTATTATATGACATTTGTTTTGTAGATTATGTTTAATATTTATAGGATTTTAGTAATATTTAATATTTTCGTATAAAATAGTTATGTTATGGTAATGCTTTTAAATAATGGTAATGAAATAAGAAAAAGAGGGAGGGTGAATAGTGGTAATGCGATGAAGAGTAAGGGAATCATTTATTTATGATGGCTCTCACACCAAGGACCTGCCTTCGGGCAGATTACCATTTATTATTATTAATGCTATGTTAAGGGACTATATTCGCATGAGTTGATAGTAACAAACTGTTAACAAGCTATGTATTTGCTGTGCGATCAGGCGAACTTACACATAAAACAGTAGTTTTTATAATGATTTATTCATATTTAAAACTGATTCAATTTAAATTTGTCAAGAAATAAGCAAAAAGAAATTTAACAAAAACATACTAAAATCCAAGAATCATTCCAAAGCTTTTTGAATAATTAGTTTATATTCTCCTTGATCTTAAATGAATACATATTCTTAATGATAAGAGATTATTTAAAAAACCATTTCTTCAAATTTAAAATTATCAAGTAACAAGTAAACAAAAATCAAACAAAAATATAATACCTATTAATTCTAGGCTAGAATATTTTTATAAATAGTAGCTTATACTTTGGTTTATATAGAAATACTGATAAATGATTTAAAATGATTTGAAATTTAAATAACGTCTACAATTTTGCATTACGATTTTTTTAAATATGTTTACAAAAGTGCAATTTTCATACATTTTATGATTATATACATTTTTCAACTAAAGGCTATCCAATTTTTAACAAACTTGTATGGATATATAAAGCTAAAAAGCTATGACTAGGCGTGCAGAATCGCCATTCAAGTATAATCTACATAATATGTATAAAAATTGCAGTGTTGAATTTAAATTTATAGTTTTTAATTATTTATGCAAATCAATAATAGGAGACTATGGATGGTTAAGATCTTAAAATCGTTATTAAATTATTCATTTTGTAATTGCGCCGTGTACTTTCGAAAATCCGAGTTTGCTCTCTAATGGAATGTTCATGGCATCTCAGGCGCATTTCTTACCCATAAATGCATTTGTATGATATAAAATTCGTTCTTAATTAAAATGTATTATTACTAATATATGTTTTCTATATATTTTTAATTATTAATTTTATATTACGAATTTGTATACAAATTTTCTTTAATTTATAATAATAAATTAGATCTATCAATTGAATCAAGTTCAGAAGGAGATTTCCATGTCAGAGAACCAAGGGATATGGTCACGATAGTACAGAGGCTTATCGCCGAGGGTAAGTTTCTATTTCTTTAATAATTATTTTAATTGTTACCTTTCAATTAATATTTATAAAATATTTGATATTTTTTATATATAAATTATTATTTCTTATAATATTTTTATAATAATTTTAATGGTAATACATTCAGGGCAATAAATTAGGCAAAAAGAAAACTATATGACGAAAACTTTGTCATCTTCAGTGGTAAATTAATATGAGAATAATTAATGTGTAGTAAATCCATACAAAGTATTTTACACATACATATATTTGTAACAATTACACAGCCAATACCTCGAATTGCAAAAAATAAATGAATATAATGAATAATTTAAAAAATCGCATTTAAGGGGCACAACAAGTGTAACCGCCTAATAAAAAGGTGATTTTTGGGAATTTATATTAAAAAAGCTACTTTATCAATCATTCCAAAATTTTAGGAATATGTTTATACGTGTTTTAAGAATAGATAGTAAAATTTTTGAAGAAAAAAATTAAATATTTTTTAAGTTATGGTCGATCTCCAACGGCGCGACAAAAAAATAGATAAGGCCCTTCACTGCTGAAGTAATTCAGGCCTTCTACGTGAATGAAATTTAAAAAAAAAATCTTGTTAAACTAGATAATATTGTCTGTAAAATGAACTACGATAAAGAAAAAAATCAAAAATTGACAAAATGACTGCGTTTTTGAAAAAAAAAAACGAATTTTACCCAAAATTTTGGTCGTTTTTGGACTGCCAAATTCGATTTTTGATCCGATCAAAAAATTGATAGTTCATTTTACGGAGAACTATATATAGAACATGTAAATAAAAAAAATTGATAGTGATTGGATCATTTGTTTTTGAGTAATCGCCGCAGCAAATTCGGAAAATGCTGTTTCGAGAAAAACGCGTTTAAAGATTAAATGATCGTTATACTATATACTATATATACACTCCTTAAATGGTTGTGACTCAAATACTATTTAAGATATCGATTTAAAATTTTGATATGTTATTTTTAAAGGAAAAACATATCGAAATATGGAAAAATTGAAAATTCGATTTTTTGAAAATTTCACACTAGTTGCGCCCCTTAATGTTAAAAATTTCTTGACCTTGCGTATTTCTTACCATTGTACGTTCTACCTTATATTCACCAGCACATTCCTTATTTCATTTAATTTAATATATACAAAAATTTACTTGTAAATTTTTAATTTCCCGCATATGAATAAAATTTTCCCCTGCCTCCCTTACTAAGCAAGCCAAAACCGCATGTATGTACTTGAAGTCTATTCAAGTATGAGAAATAGTTTCGTCATTTTACAAGTAACCAGATATGAAAATTCCTTATGGTCAGCACAAATGAACACACAAAACAGTCATAATGCATTAATTGTACAAGACACAATCCTTTTCTTTCGAAAAGTAATATAATGCAGTTCTGATTCCCAGGTAATACGACACCTTCGCCGGATATGTTGTTACCTATATCGCTTACATTAAACAATAATCGTCAAATAAGCAAATGTATATGAAAACGCAGTTATTGATTTCTCAACATTATGGTATAATGTAAACTATATCGTTCAATCTTTTATTAATAATAATATTCATATCGGAAATGCAATGGAAACTGTTTAATTTATTACTGTTGCACCATAGTCATTTCATCATAGTTATCTTTGTAATAGATACATAAACAGAAGTTGTTTAATTGATAATTGAGGCTGTTTTAATTTTGCATCTCATTGCACGTGGAATTTTTTCTATTATTTTTTTCTGAAAACTTTAAAAATTTGGTTAATATATTAAAAATACTTAAGCAACATTTATATATTAATTCATTACAAATGTTAAATGTTTATTTATACGTTTCGACACTATATATGTGTCATCATTATATTTTTCTTAAATTTTTTAAAAAAATTATTGATTTAGACAAAGGAAGTAGAAGATAAGTAGAAGACAAATCTAAGTTCATCAAGTAACTGTAAATAAAAAATTAAAAAAAGATTACCAAAAATAAAAGGAAAGTGAAAATGTGAGGTTAAATATCGAATCACATGTACAAACGTTTATTAAATTTTCATAGTTACCAAAGAAATAAAGAAGATTGGCCACGTTTATTAATATAGAAGAATTCGAGTAATAAAACAAAGATTAGCTAATCCGAAGCCAATTTTTGTATATAAAATGTTAGAAGAACATATATTTATAATATATTTATGTTTCCTGAAAATATGATCAATTTTAAGCACATTTTTATTGCAAATCATTTCATCATTTTATATGAAGAAACCTTAGAGTCTGTTTTATTTATTTAGGTAAATTCTTTTTAGATTTTGTACTCAACTTTTTGAATCCAATTATTTTTTCTTTCCCAAATAAAATATTTAATGGATCTAATCGTTTTTCTTAATAAAATAAGTCATTTATCAGAATCGGAACAACTATCAGATCTCAGAACAATTATTAATTAAGAAAATCATATGTGAAACATATACCGACTTTTATATTTTATTTTTATGAAATTATATATATTATCAATTATGTTGTAGTAATATCTTTTTATTATCTTTAGGTCACAGATTCGATGTACCTGAAATAGTCAATTTGGTGTTAGAACCCGGAATTTGGTATGTATTCACTTTTTTATATAATCACCTTTAAGGTAATTTAAAAATTTAAATACCTTTTAAGGTAATTCAATTACCTTTAAGGTAATTTAATAAATTACTAGAAAAAAATATTATTTAGTAATTATATATTTAGTATTTGTAACTATATCCTCCCCTTTCACTTGTATTTTGAAATGAAAAGATTTATACTCGCTTAAATAATGCGTGTTAAATAGAGTGTCCGGTGCTTGGTGCCGTCCGGCGTTACGGGACTTTCCCCTGTATAGTCATGATTCTTTCTATCGAGTTTATAATATGGTAATTGGTATTATCGATTGATTTGATTAATATTAATTTATTGAATCATCAATTTGATTATTGATTTGAATGATTGCTCTTGATTTACATTACTTAATAAAAGTTCAAAAGGTGAAAGGAATACAATGAATGCTTATTCTATATATTAATAATACTTATTAACTTAACGGGTGAATTGAATAGATTCTATAACTAGTGCATATATATATATATATATATATATATCATAAAATATCATTAATTAATCAATATCATTAAATTAATACCGTATCACATTTCAAGTGCTTACTCTTAAAAATCTTCAAGAGTTTGTTAACACGAAACGATGGGAGTGAGATTTTATTACTTGTTTTATATGATTTTAATTATTAGAGCAATTAAATAAAATTCAATTTGTAATTATACTTCGAAATTACGATAATTTAGCTCAATATTTTTAACTTATTCACACAGCGAAATATTCATTAAATAAGCATATTAAAATTTTTTTTAGTAACGAGATTACTTAGACTGTAGAAGTTTCAGCAAGGTACAAAAATTGACAGTTAATTAATTAATGAAATTTGATTAAACACCGTTTATATACTCAGATTATCATATTGTAATAGTTATATACAATAAATGCTTTAGCATCCACATCAAGTATGAAGCTTGCCTAAGCTAATTAGTGACTACGGGACTTTTCGCAAATAAACAAAAATAAAAAAATATTTTTATTTCTGACGATTGCATTCGGTTGATTGCATAGTGTTAATTTAATATAATATCTAAATAAAGTATTATTGGATTCTAAAAATAATCTCAATTTTATGCAGCATTTGTTCTAACAATATTAAACATTTAAAATATGTGAAAGATTAATAAATGTTTGCACATACATATGAAAAATGCGTTTTTATGAGGAATAAATTCTTTATATATATTTATTTATAAATTTAAGTTACTACAAGTTTAAGTATTACTACATAAACAATGCTACAATTTAACGTAATGGTCGTTTTTAATTATAAACTTTATATGCTATTATTAGCATTGGACAACGTAAGCAATTGCTGCAACAAATAGGAAATAAATTGATAAAAATAAAATTCATACTGTTATATATATATATATAAATCACTACGATTGTGAATTTAAATACGTACTCTTATCTGCAAACGATAAAAGTCGCGAGTAGGCTCGGAGAAGGATGGTACTTTACAGTCAATCAAATCCATCTATTCAATATTATATTTTATAAAAATAATAAATTAATAGATACATATTAATAAATTGATTCATGATTAAATTTTTTATGTATTTTAAGGTAATTTTTGCAAATAAATTGCTAACTTGAAAGCATGTTTCATAGTGTAATATTTACTGTAGCACATAAGGTTTCTCCTTATCTTAAGTTCAGTGGCGGGTGCTGATTTTTATGTTATTTACTTATATAAGGAAATTATTTTTTAAAGCATATATGAATAAATTATAAAATAACACCAGCTTTTATACTAAGGGTCTGTTATAATTATTAGACTCTGTTAATATATTAGATTGGCAACTAACTCAGTGCGATGGTCTTAATTGAGTTTTTAGGTTTACTGATGTATTCCAAAAGTACATACTTTTTGTAAGTGGAAGTGGAACGCAATTTAGGTATCCATCAGTAAAAACAAGTTTTTTGATCGATTTTGATTCGAAAATCAAATTTTTGTCATTTTGCTTTTTTTATTTATGCTAAGGTAAAAAGGCATCTTAAGCACACAAAAAGTTATGAACTGTTCTTGGTAACGAAGCCTTAAAAACGGAGGTGTCAAGATTTGTTTCCCCAATTTCATTCTGGTGATTTTTTTCTCAAAGATGCAAAAGGCTGTGATCGTCCAATTGAAGAATCGTCTACTTTTACTTTTACCATCCAACCGAAGAACCAATTTTGAGGTCTAAATTGAATAACTAACGAATTTAGACAACATTTTATTCCAATATTGACATCACATATCCTTGTCCACTTGACAAAAATTATTGGAACTTGGTGGAAATATTTTACCACCATACATTCTTGACCTTCTGATTGCTATTTGTTTCGATCTTTACAAAACTCCTTGAATGGTAAACAATACAATGATACCATCATATGTCAGATTGATTGAATTAAAAAAAAAATAATAATAATAAAAACCAGAAGTTGTATGAAAGTGATATGATATTGCTACTTATAACGCAAGTCCAGCCATTTTAAAGATTTTGGGCAAAAAGTGCAATTTGCTTTAATGGCAATTCTGTTTTTGAGAGAATGTGCGTCCGATTTAAATTATTCAAAAAGCATTTCAGTTGTATTGAAGCAACAAGAATATATTAAATTTTTTGAGGAGGCAGGTCCTGGGTTTTGGAGATCACATAGAAAAAGTTTGAAAACATGCCATTTGGCGTTAAAAGTGATCATTAGACATATAAAATATCACATATATAATATCACATCACATAATATCAAATCTTGGAGAAAAAAAAAAGATTTATTTCAAAATTTAAATAAAATACTTAAAATGCTACATTACAGTACGGGAAGTTCCTGCAATTTGCCTTAAGACACGATGCCATGCACAACTAGTTATCAATTTAAAATTTCTGAATCTTTATAGTAATCGCAAAAAAAACGAAAATGAAGATTTTTATATATCTTTACGTTTCAAAGGATTTTAAACATTTTGGCTTACCTTGGAAAAAATGGATGTATGTGTGTGTGCGTGTGTATGTTTGTGCGTGTGTGTGCGGATACAAATTTTTGTCGACGATTTCGGGAACACCGATCAACCGATTTGAATAATTAAAAGAACATTCAATTCATATTGATAAGGAGACGTGCTGATTAGTTTTTGGCGAAGGCAGGTCTAGCCGTTCCGAAGATACGAAGCAAAAAGTGCCAAAAGCGGTAACTCAGTTTTTAAGAGAACGGAGCGTTTGATTTCAATAATTCAAACAACATTTTACTTGTATTGACAAGATGAAGAACTGATTAAATTTTTGGGAAGGCAGGTGTAGCGGTTGTGGACTCTCAATAAAAATAAGTTAAAAAATGTCATTTGGCGGTTAAAAATGTTTATTGGACATATGTACATCAAATAATTAGATATTTTGTAGAGATTTTAATAATGTGTACACGTTTTGTGTAGTTTTTGTTTGGGTTCCGTACCAAGATTTTTAATAAAGGATCGTTCAAGTATTACGTAAGCAGATTTATTACAATTATTTACCCCCCATCTCCCTTGTCAGCAAAAGTAAGCAAAGCTTTTACCGCCTACCCCCATGCTTACGTAAACATTTTGCAATTAATATAAAAAAAATAAAAATACTATATATATCGTAATCATCATCCAGACTCCCCTGCCACCCATGTCAACCCAAAATAAGCAAATCAACAACCCCCCTGCCCCCCTATAGTGCTTACGTAACACTTGAACGGCCCCTAACGGTATGGGAAGTTCCAGCAATTTGCCTTAGTTTGCGATATAATATATATATATATATATATATATATATTATATAATAATATATATAAATAGTATAGTATATATTTCTATGTATTATTATTATCCCGTACCGCCCCTGTCGGCGGTTGTCGCCTTCAATCGCCGCTGCTCCGAAGCAACAGGCGCTCTCGTGACGTCGCATTCGGCTCCTCGATTTCAGTTCAGTGTTCAGTCCAGCGTCAGCTTGTTTAGAGTTTGGCTCGTACTTCAGTCCAGTATATTATTCTCACAAAGGTGTCGTTTGACATTTATGTTTATAAATTCCTATCTCGACTTGTGCAGAGAACGTGTTAAATTATTAGTTAGTAAATGACTGAAAATTCCTAAAAGATAATTTTCTAGTGTCGTATTTTTGCGATAATACATGCAATTGTGTTTGCGGCATCTATGAAATACGAATAAGTGTTGGAATGTTTCAGTATCAATAGTGTTTTGTGTTAGGAAGTATTCTATGGAGATCGATTCAGTGACTTATTGAAGTTGATAACGCAACGGTATGTTTATAATTTTGCACGAATTTTAAATATTTATTAATCGTAAGATGAAAGTAGTGTGTAGACCATGTGTTTATAGTAATTAGATACGTCAGAGTGTATTTGTACTGTAGACATGTTTTTTTACCTTTGTTCTATGAAATAACTAGTGGCAAGCATGGCATCGTGCCTTAAGGCAAATTGCTGCAACTTCACGTTATTAAAAATCTTGGTACGAAACCCAAAAAAATGTACACAAAATGTGTACACATTATTAAAATCTCTATAAAATATCTGCTAATTTGATGTACATATGTCCAATAAACATTTTTGATCGCCAAATGACATTTTTTTAACTTATTTTTATTGAGAGTCCATAACCGCTGGACCTGCCTTCCCAAAAATTTAATCAGTTCTCCATCTTGTCAATACAAGTAAGATATTTTCTGAATTATTAAAATCGGACGCTCTTAAAAACTGAATTACCGTTTTTGGCACTTTTTGCCCCGTATCTTCGGAACGGCTAGACCTGCCTTCGCCAAAAACTAATCAGCACGTCTCCTTATCAATACGAATCGAATGTTTTTTAAATTATTCAAATCGGTTGATCGGTGTTCCCGAAATCGTCGACGAAAATTTGTATCCGCACACACACAAATACATCCATTTTTTTAAGGTATGTCAAAATATTCAGAATCCTTTGAAACGTAAAGATATATAAAAATTTTCTGTTTTGATTTTTTGTGATTACTATAACTTACCCTACTGGAAGTTAATAAAAGTAAACTTAACTAGTTGTAAATAGTACTTTGCTTTATTTTCCGAAATCAATTTATCAATTTATGAGTGATTTTTAAGTACACTAAGCTGGTACAAAACATTTTGTTGTGAGAAACTAATGCAGATTATTCAATTTTTTCTACATTTTGTACAATTTTGTTTCTTACAAATGTTTCTTTCTGAAAAACGAACACGTGTCTCTAATACATACATACACAAAGACCTTTCAAAAAGCGCCGCCGAACATTTCAAATTTTAATAAATTTTTATAATAAAACCACTTTTCGTAGGACTATAATGTTTTAGTATGTTCATCAAATCCAGGTACACTATCGCCATACCAAGTTTTATTAAACTGGTGAAAATATTTTTCTAACTTCTCGTAGGGTAAGTTATAGTAATCACAAAAAAAAATGAACAGTTCTATATATTTTTACGTTTCAAAGGTTTCTGAACATTTTGGCATACCTTAGAAAAAATGAATGTACGTGTATGTGTGTATGTATATATGTGCGGATACAATTTTTCGCCGGCGATTTCGTTATCATGGATCAACCGATTTGAATAATTCCAAGAAACATTCGATTTGTATTGATGGACAGACTTACTGATTAGTTATTGGCAAAGGCAGGTCCAGCCGTTTTGAAGATACAGGACAAAAAGTGCCAAAAATGGTCATTCAGTTTTTGTGATAACGGAGCGTTCGATTTGAATGATTCAAAAAACATTTTACTTGTATTGACAAGATGAAGAACTGATTAAATTTTTGGGAAGGCAGGTTAGGTGGTTTCGGAGATCTACTGAAAAAAGTAACAAAAAAGCCATTTGGCGGTCAAAAATAATCATTAGACATATGCCCATCAAATAATAAGTACAATTTTTGTTTACATTTACATGAGTTCCTTACCAAAGTTTAACTGCGCTTCGATATTTAGTCCTTAATCGTCGCCCGGTTGCTTTGAAAAAGAGTTATAAGCTTTTTTTTAAAATTAGAATTTTTGGTGCGGGAAGTTCCAGCAATATGCCTTAAGACACGATGCCATGCGCCTAATAGTTTAACACGGTCTGGCCGATCTTTATCAAAAAATAATCAGCCGGTTCGCTTGGTTCTGAATTTTTGACTAGCACGTGGACAGTAATTTAGCACTTTTCTGTTAATTCTAAAGAAATGGCTAACATAATTTAAATGTATGAAAATTTAACCAACGCCGAGTGTTATCGAGTTTATACGAATGGCTTTAAATTTTTGAAATCGGTTCAGTCGTTTTTAAGAAACCGTGGATGAAAGGTCAATAATTGGCTCACATATACACATAGCCATACATAAACAAACACATGTAGTTTCTCCAAATTTGGTCTCATTCGATTCAGAATGACTTCATACCTTGAAAAAACAAGATTTGTATAATCATATAATTTTATATAATATTATATAAAATATATTTCCATTTACATTCTAAAAAACACCGATAAGGGCCAAGGCTACGAAGCGGCTTATGTCAGTTTTTTCTACTAGTTCAAAATGCCGCGATTTACAAAGGATATTTCTGTGGGATATATATATAGTAAACCGCCAATAACAATTTTTTTAGCTGCAAATAAAGGAACTAACTCTATAAATTAATCAGTTTTGCGCTACGATCAGCACAAGCCCAGCCTTTTCTTTATAATTAGCAGATAATTGCAAAAGTTTTCGTCAAAAATCCTAAACCGATTTTGAAAATTCAAAAACTGTTCAAGAATAGTCCGAGAGGTATTTGATGGGAAAATTTTGCTAATTTATTTTTGCTTTTCATCGTATTTGGCATTTGAATTGGACATCTTTTTTGCTACCAAAAAATTTGCTGATATTCAGGATGGAATATGAGCAAATATAAAAAATATAGATATTAATATTAATAAATAATATTTGCTAAATAATAAATAATTATTTTTTGCTAAATATCTGACATACAGTTTATTCGTAAATAATTATTGAAAAAAAATCAGTACCGATTTTAATAAAAGTTTGCATGGCGGTAGTTAATGATGTACTAAACTAACATCCTAAAGCATTATAGACAAAAAATGGTTTAATTATAAAAAATATGTATATTAAATTTTGGAACTTTAGGCCACGCTTTGAGACATATACCGAGTATGTATTAACCAAGTGTTTGCTTTTTCTTCAATAATGTATGATATTTAAAATGTTATAGCATACTTAGCAAATTTATACATAATTGCAATGATTGCACCAGCTCGATGAACTTGTAAATCACTCAAATTAATATATTGAATTTTGAGTGGATTATTCACACATTGGACTTGTCTTATTGCAAAATACCACTTAGACCTAGTTATTTTGTTTCATCATCCACCTAAAGGACACGACAAATGAATTATTGGACTCATTAAGTCCAAATGCTGTTTTTTACAGCGATAGTTCAAAAAAGGAAACAAATGTAAAATATATACTTATAAAGTGGAATAATAGATTTTTACTTACAGTAGACTTAAAATCGGTTATTAGAATTTTTATAATATTTTTTCTATAAATCTGTTCTAATAACTTTCTTACTAAGTTTCTATTACTATTGTATCGTATTTGTGAGTCATATGTACTCCAAGCACATTTGTATCGGATTTTGTTTGAAAATTTGATTGTAAGATGTAAACAGATTGTATTGATCTGTGAGAGAAAATTATTGATCACAATGATATCAATGAAAACATCATTTTGAATAGACATTGTTTGTGGAATCAAACATTTGTTTTCTTCTAATCGGTAATATTGATGCTGGTAAAAATCCGGTTCAATAATGCATTTACAGATATTGTATGAAATGAAAAATGAAATTTGTAAAATTGAGATCGATAATTTAGCAATAGTGATATTTATTTATTTATTTATTTATTATATTACTCATATTTATTCTATTTTTTTTTTGTTACAGTTCAAAAGACGATGAAATTGATGGTTGCTGTATAGTTCGTGCTAGAGGACTTCCATGGCAAAGTTCTGATAGAGATATTGCAAAATTTTTCATTGGTTTAAATATTATCAAGTAAGTTAATTAATTCATAAGTTCATAAATAATATAAGTTAATTAATTAATAATTTTTCTAACTTATTATAATTGATTATCTACCTACATGAGACATTAAACCAATTGTCCATAAAGTACAACAAAGTAAATCTCAAAGTAAATTCGTCTAAAAAATGCAGTTGAAATATAAAATAGATGAAATGGATTTTCATTTATTAGTTGATATAATGTAGGTCTTTCTGTTAAATTCCTTTGTTAAGAATTCGGTTCAACATTTTACTTTTATTTAAGTTTGTAGGATGTCCAGGAAGCCTGTTCTTTTAACTTCTGATTATTCCTGTATACCTTATTTTTTATGGAAAAAGTATTCACTAATTTTTTTTATAAGTATCTTTTTATTTGATTTTGTATGTTTGTTTATGTACATCTGTTATCGTTCTTAGACTATTTATTTAATTGCAAAATGTGTCGCAAAAACATCTGTATTTGTCCGAATTAATAATGCGAAACAATAGCACTAATTATTTACAATAATCATTATACATGTTCATAAAAATTTATGCATGGAGACATACATAATGCACTTTAGCAATGGTATCAAAGATTTTAGCTTATGGGCCACATTTCACCAGAATAGAATAAATTGTAAGAAAATGAAAATCAGAATTATGCAGTTGCTTTGTTTTTAAATTAATCTCTTCTGCAACTATCAATATATTTAAAAAAAACAAAAAGTTAAACAATTTTCATTATTTTATTTTGTAAATAAACAATAATATTTTTTTTTAAATCTTTATTTACTCTTTTGTCAATCAAGACTTAAGAAGTGAAGAATAAAAAATGAAACAAATTTTTATATTGAATCTTGTTTAGATATCCTTTTTAGTGAAAATAATTCCTTGTTAGAAATTAGAAAATATTTGAGTAAAAATAAATTTATTATCGTCACATGTAAACCTTTTTTACGTAGAAACCATTCCATTATATTACTGCTATAAAAAAACACTCGATATTTTTATGGCATTATCTAGAAAGGAATAATAGAAAAACTTTGACCATGTGTTTGCAATATGTTTTCAGATACTTGTAAAGTGATATGTTATTTATTGCACAGCTCAACAGTATCTTTTAAAATCAAAATTTCTACCAATGCAGCAAATATGTAAATTTTATTCAAAATTTGGTATTATTTAATTTGTTGCGATTATTCTTTATTAACGCTTAAATTTTTGTATTTAAAATATTTGTATTTAAATTTATTATTTAAGACAAATACAATGGTTGTGCTATTCTAGTTTATCATATCAAAGTGTTTTGGTTTCTTTTTTATTGGAAGGTAAATGTATATCCTAAATTTTATATACTTTTTTATTACAACATATTGGTAGTCTTATTCTAGCTTTGATATATATTTTTCACTAGAAGCCTTGTAACTGGTTATACTATAATTGTTTGGATACAATTTTTTATTAGAAGGCTTACCCAATCGTTGTCCTATTATAGTTTTGATAATTAATGATTTATTAATATTTTTTATTGGATGCCAACCTAATCCGTCAAATATTTTTTGAATCGTTCAAATCGGATGCTCCGTTTCAAGTTAAACTAGCCAAAATTTAGTAAAACAGCTCCAGCAACAGAAAAACAATTCCAAAAATCCAAAACAATTTAAAACCATGTTGGCAGATCACATTAACATATACAACTACAACTACGATTAATGATTGTCCTTTTATAATCTTATATTGTGAACATTTTAATCAAACAATCGATATCCTTATATATAATTCACTGATTTCTATATCACTTGAGACAAAAAACTTGAGTTTAGTGATAAATATTTTTTTTACAATAATTTTCTACTGCACTTGCAATCAGTAAAATGTTTTTTAAGATAACAATATGTGTGCAATTCGAATGCACTTGAATAATTTTCTTATCACTACAATTTATTTGCCTTACAATAATATTTATTTGCATCTATTAATAATTACATGTGATTATAATGATAACATTAATCTTCATTTGATTAATTTATCTGATTATTATTATTATTTTTTTCAAATAGTTTTTTTTATTTATTTATTTATATATTATTTTTATATTTTAGTCAGACAGGGGTATCTGGTATGAGAGATTATGAAACAATTTTCTTATTTTATATATGCATATCATTTGTCTATTTCATTATACTCTAAGAAAATATTTATATATAAATATCTATTCAATCTTCAATTTCCTTATAATATTTCTTTATTTTTCTTTTAAATAAGATTTAAAGGGTAACTATTATTTTAAAAAAAAAATACATTTCATTATTTCAATAGTCAGTTTCCAAGTGAATGTAGCCCTTACTGCTTAACATCACAAGCTTATAGAACCTTTAAGTTGATCAAATTCATATACATATGTTAAAATTACAAATGGCATATGATAAATTACATTAAAATAATAAATTAATTCGATTAGAGAAAAGTTAAAAATATATACATGTCTAAACAGCAAATGTATAATGTTTTTGTATGGTTCTTTCAGAGGCGGCGTGGCCTTGTGTTTGTCGGCTCAAGGAAGACGGAACGGCGAGGCCCTGGTGCGATTCGAGTCGCAGGAACACAGAGACATGGCACTCAAAAGGCATAAGCATCACATCGGCTCCAGATATATCGAGGTTAGATTTTGAGATTTAATTTTTTTAAATTGTTTATTTTTTTACTTTGCCTACACGTACATTAGTCATATACATTTTATAGGTTAACTTTACAATTTTATTTTATTAGATTTCATATATTTTTATATCACGCCGTATTTTCTGTTGTCAACAATGTTATAAAATTAGTTGGAAGGGAAATTTTTGAGATATTAATATTAATACAATATTTTTTTATTATTCTATAATTGGTGTACTAATATAAGGTGAATTTTATTGATTACCTTACACCTTAAAAATTGAAATAGAAGAAATTTTTGAATTCAAAAGAATTTTTTCTGGCTATAGTTCAGAAGAAATTAGGCCGCTAAAAAAAGTTGAATCAGTCAATTTTGGCCATAATGCCACTGTCAAATATTACTAAACTAAACAATACTTGTAACAAATAACGCATAACAATAATTTTTTACTTCTACTTTTACTATAAAATAGCTTTTCCGTGACATAGTTTTTTTTATAATATTTTAATATGAAGCTAATGGGTCAATATCACCGTACTTCTTGGGCTGATGTGATTATTTGAACTTCTTTTTTTTAACTTCCCGAAGGAGAAGTTTATGTTTTCATAAAAAAATCCGATTTTATATAATTTGTTTTCTCGACGTTTCAAGCCATTCTGAATAGAATGAGACCAAATTTGGAAAAAGTATGTGTAAATCGACGTCTTCTCGAAAACGGCTGGTTCGATTTCAAAAATTTAAGACATTCGATTTATCTCGATGAGGACTATCGTTTGTCAGACGATCGGCCGAGACGTTTCTTTATAAATAGAAGAAAAATGAAAAATTTTTCGTCCACGTTTTATCCAGCAATTTTGAATCGCTTTTGAAAATTCGAAAACCGTTCGAAAGATATTTGTTGGGAATCGTGCTGATTAGTTTTTGGTAGAGATCATCGGCCGGGCCGTTTTCTTGTAATAAGGTAATTTTTATTCTTGTAAAGTTTTATTATTATTATATATATTATTTCAGATTATGGTAGATACCATAATCTTCTAGATCATACTAAAATATTACGGCCCTACGACAACTCGTTTATCTTTAAAAATTCGTCAAAGTTTGCAAAAATTAGTATGTCCTTTTTGGCATTTGTCAAAATTAGAACTTTTATCGACGTTTGCTTAAAAACGCCTAACCGATTTCAGAAATTTAAAAACCATTTGATGCATGTCGATGAGGATTGATATTCCTCAGTTTTATGTGACGATCGGCCAAGCCGTTTCTTTGTAATTTGAAAAAAAGTGTTGGACTTTTTGTCCACATTTAAGCTCATACTACCGAATCGATTTTAAAAAATTAAAAACTGTTCGAAAGATATCAATTCGGAATGATACTGATTAGTTTTAGGTGAAAATATACCGAGCCGTTTTCTTGTAATTAACTGTTGAAAAAAACATTTAAGCCGATTTTCATGGAACTAACTTCATGAACTGTTCATTTGGCAATATATATCATGGTCTTATAGAACTTACTGAAATATTACGGCCTTACGACAAGTAGTTTATTTTTAAAAATTCATTAAAGTTTGAGAAAATGAGTAGTTCTTTTGACATTTGCTAAAATTAAAATTAGACGATTTACTTGGTATAACGATAGAGTACTTGGTCTTAATGAACATACTAAACAATTAAAGTCCTACAAAAAATTGGCTCAATTATAAAAATTATTGATTTTTAAAAATTTGCTTTTAAAAAATACTCCGACCGGGTTGACGTGTTCGATTTTCAATAATGTGTAATAAATCCACTTCGAATACTTAACTACTCATAAATTAATTAATCTATCATGGATTATGTCGATTATTTACACATATCGGGAAGTTCATGTAATTTGCCTCAACACAAAATACCAATACCAACTAGTTTGATCAGTTTCCAGGATATCCAAAATATTTGCTTTCAATTACGTCACACAAATGACGAATCCTCAAAATTCGTGTGCCCTCTATTGTTTACCCTTTGTTATCTTCGATAATTTTCGATTTTTTGATTCGATTCGAAACAGAAGGTTTACGAAATTTGTATAAAAGATAAAGGAGCGTCCGACGGGCTCCACATTTGACCTGTGAACTATGAAATATGTGCTCAGCTGATTACGCATATATTCCGAACGATTCTCTTCGTCTTTCAGTCGGATTCTCGGGCACTTTTTGTTCGAACGAATAATATTTCTTGGAAAAATCAGTCGTAAAAATGATACAGTGAAATCAAGTGCTTGGAATATTATATTTTGCACATTTTTGTAAAGGATAATTTGATAATTTTGTTGTATTTGGTCTGTGTTTTAGTAAAATGACTCATTGTTAGTGAGTGTGTAAAATGGTTTTTAAATTGAAACAAAGGGTGAGTTTTAGTTGGTTGGTAATGAAAACTTATGTAATTAAGAATGGATTTTTTAAAACTTATTATACAATACATGGATGGATGAATCACGTTTATGGTCCTGCAATTTATCAAGAAATTTTAGTATTTTTAAAAAATGTGGCAACAGCCACGAACAAATGATTATCTAACTTTTATTAGGTAAGATTTTTTATGGTACCGGATTCAAACTACTTAATAAGAAAATGTATAGGTAATTAATGAAGAATTGATTAATTTTATTAATTAATCTAACTTTTATTAGATAATTTTTTTTAGACTATCGCATTCTAGCTACGAAAATTAATAGTTAATTAGTTGGGAATTGATTGTTTTTAAAAACGATTCTTACTTACTTTTTTCTTATACAATTCACTCTTAAGGCTTTGCAATTAATCAAGTAATTTGAGTTTATTTTTAAAAAATAAAGCAATCTGAAAGATTTTCTTTTATGAAGCAAATACCACCATGAACAAATGATTATATAACTTTTATTAGGCAAGCATTTTTCAGGGTAGCATTAGTAGTCAAGATTTTAGATTTTTCGAACAGGGCTTGAGTGTTACAATTTGTTGAGATAATTTATCCACCTCTAACGTCATTGAAATTGATAGTTTTAAAATACGTATCCTCTATTTAAAAAAAAAAACACATATTATTGACCAAAATTTGTTTCTCTGATAATCTTCTTGGACACACTTATAAAAGAAATATTCATTTACATTTTGCCTCTGATTTAAAATATATTATTAATGCAAAGTACTTTGGTTACTATAAATATTTTTTTTTCAATCATTTAATTATTTTTATCAGTTGTATAAACTGATAAAAGAAAAGTATAAAACTAATAAATGAAACAATATTAAATAAAATAATATATAATAAAAGTTTGTAAAAATATTAAATATAATTAATATTTCACTATATGCTGCTCTAACCCTAATATCATAAATTAATTTATTTCTTGGCATTTGTTTATAATCATTGAGAAACATTTATAAATGCTTTATGAAATATAAATAATTACGGATGAACTAATATATAAATAATAAACTAAATGAGAAGATTTAAACTAAACAATAACAAAAATCATATTTTTATTAATATTTTTCCAACATGGAAATATAACGAAATTTCAACATACAAATTCGTATTATCCCGAAGACCTAATCACTTAAAATAAATTATAGCTTTAGTTAATTATCTACTAGGGGATCTTCTCAATGGAGAAGATTCTTACTTGACATTATAATTCATCACAATGACTTATAGAAAACTGTTGTATTTTTCTGATTGTCATAAATAAATAAATAAAAAAAACAAATTCGTATTATCGTGATAGCATTCTTTGATATCGATAATAAAACTGTTTTCTTGAGAAATTGATAATTTTATCATGCATTTTTAAGAGTTGCTATAAGAGTACTTATAAAATAATAGTAAATACATCAATTTTTATTTATAAATTATCAAAATTTACATCTATTTATTTATGGAATTGCTTTCCTATATCTGCAGAGTATTTCTACAAACATGTGGACTCAACCTTTCATTCACATTTTTGTAAAAATGATGATTTACCTTCCTGATTTAAGTCTTATAAAAATTATTTTAACTTACAAATAAATTCAATTACAATTTTGCGCACCTACGTTTTTCGCAACAATATTTATACATTCTCTCACAAGTGAAATATTTTTGTAAATTATTATTTAAATATTTGCAAAATGTTCTTATGTAAGATTGTTTCTAGTTAAGTGCCATTTATGTTTAAGATATGCTTAGAAGAAATTCAATATTTTGCACGCACTTGAGATAAGTTTATACAACATTATGTAATGGTAATTAAATTTTTATTGTATAATATTTTTTACTTGAAGTAAAAATTTCAATATTTATTGATATCGTTAAATATTTATTCACAAATAAAATATTATTACTGTTGATAATTATACTTTTGTTTCTATTACAATACAAAAAAGTTAAAACATAATTTATATAAATGCGGTTTCAACATTGAAAAATAACGTTATCATATTTTATTTTTCGGTCGATCTGAGTTGTTTTGATTTAGATTCGGTAAATTTTTATTAAATATTTATTTTTTGATAAGTGTATTTTTCACGAGACTAATATTTGTTTAAATCTTTCAACATTAGAACTGTAAGACTGATTCAAAAGAAATATTTACCTTGTAAGATTTACTTCGAGAGTTTAGTTATATACTTTTTTAAATATGTATTGTTGAAATTTTACTTTATATACATGCTTTTTTATATACAAGTGAATGCTTTCAATTTAATAATATAACTATTAATCTATCATGCAGAGTATCCTAAATTAATATTAATAATAGTAATTGACAATAATAATGGATAAATTCTGTTTCTTCGGATTACTTCAGGAAAATATTCAGATAATTTTATTTTTACAATTATTTTAATTTTTTTTTTTTTTGAGTAAAGCTATTTGAGTTAATAATCTTTAATCCTAAATTGATTGATTATTGTTGATTTGAATCACTTCAGGATCTTAAATTTATTTTAATTAATGGTTCAGAAGAACTAGTTACAAAACAGTTTGTTTTTCAATTTACAATTTATGTATGAAATATATTATGATTTTTTTTTATAGTGGTTTCAAAACTTTTATCTATTGAATTATTCAATGGTTTTAATTTGATTTACAACCAAAGTAGTTAATCAAAATTTTATAAAGCTTGTGATATACTCTTTCTGTATAATTTTTCTTATGCAATCACGTACTTTAAGATTGAAGTATAATTTTTTTTTTAAATTTTATTTGGCTTCGCTTACTCTGAGCATTTAGCCACCTACAACATATTTTATTTATTTACATTTTTATATAATTTTGAATCTATATATGTATCCTATTCTATATTCTAGCTTCATTCTATTTTTTTCTTCATTCTTCTTTTAATTTCAGCTCAGTTCCAATATTTCACTTCTTACTCCTAATACAATTCGAACTCTGTTATTCCTATTTTTCACAATTTTTATTTGATTTCAAATTAACTATACATATTTTTTTTCCTATATTCTAAGTCAATTGACTTAGGACAGGATTTGATCCGAAGATCCCTGTCGTGTGAATCGAACATGCTACCAAGTGAGCTATGCTCGCCACAAGTATAAATTTTGTTTTTGATTACGAATTAGTTTTTAATTATATTTACTTTTATTTAATTAACTACAGCTATTTTCAAATTTATCAAGTATTCATCATATTACGACTTATTATTGCTAATTTAATAATTACGCAAATACTATATATAAGCAAATCTATGTTTACAAACACGATCATAATTATTATGTTATTTATTTTATTATTACATATATTATGGTTTATGTATGGTGATCTAACATGGTTGTTATTCTTATGCAAGTGATCATTTTTGTAAACTACGTTAAAATAATTCTGAGACTGTCCGTGACTCTGGTGTAAGAGCTTTGGCCTTGCAACCAAAAGATTCCTGATTCAATTCCCATCTCAAACATTATGATATCGAGTAGTAGTGAAATCTGAAGCTGAATATTAGTAAAAATGTCATTTCAGAGCATTAATGCAACGAATTAATATTGTGATTAAAATCAAAAATAAATATATCGTTTTATAATAAATACAACTTGAGAAATGTTTATCTTATTTCTTCATGTACAAGAGAAAATTTTTGAATCAACGAGTACTTTGCTTGATAAAAAAATTGTCTTATGAAATTGCGGTTGAAAAATTCTAAACAAGTATAAATATGGGATCGATTTGCAATATATTTTACAATGCTAAAGATTTGTTTCAAATATTAATTTAAGTTTTATTACTCTTCAGGTATACAGGGCGACTGGTGAAGACTTCTTAGCTGTTGCCGGAGGAGCGAGCAATGAAGCACAAGCTTTTCTATCGCGCGGGGCGCAAGTTATCGTTCGGATGCGAGGGTTGCCTTATGATTGCACCGCAACTCAAGTGGTAAGTTTAATAAAATTTAATTATATTAAAAAATGCAAATAAATTTTGATAGTTTTGATAGGTGTAAAAATCATCATTTTCATTTCTGTAAAACATATTCATACCTAGAAATTGTAACAAATATGTATAATTTTAAAGCATATTTGTTATGTTTACTAGTTTAGAATTTCATGGCTGTTTTATATAATTATTTTTTATAAATGATCAAGTTTCATTTTTGAGAAGTTTTTGTGCTTACTGACATTTAGAAGCACCAACCTCAATTTGTGGTCTCTAACTGCATATGCCAGTGGTTTCCACTCTTTTGGACACCGTGATCTAGTAAAAAATATTGTTGCATTCCCCCCCCCCCTTGTTTTTTCAACAATTTCTACAAATTATTATGCTATATTATGTGAAAATATGCATAAACTAGCTGTAAGTGAAATTCTGTCTTAAGGCAATTAAGGCATCGTGCCTTAAGGCAAATTGCTGGAACTTCCCGTGCCAAAAATTATTATTTTTTTAAAAACGATTAACATTTTTGAAAAAATTTTACTTCGAAAAAATAAGATTTTTTGGAAATTTTAAATTGGACGAAAAATTACTTTTTTTTGAAAAAAAAATTTTTTTTTTAAAAAATTTTTAAACAATTTTTTTTATAAAATTTTTTTCTGGAAAAAATGTTATCTTCATTTTGACATATTTTGGAAGATCTGAACTTTTTTTCAAAGCAATCGTACTTCTTTAACTGCATAGAGACAAAAAATAAAGCGCGTAAGCGCCGCGTCGCTGTCTAACGGAAAAACATTAGTACGGAACCCATAGGAATGTAAACAAAACTTATACTTATTGTTAAAATCTCAATAAAATATCTGATAATTTGATATGCATATGTCTAATGTCTAATGATTATTGTTGACCGCCATATGTTATTTTTTTTTTAGTTTTTTTTTACTAGATCTCCGAAACCGCTAGACCTATCTTCATGAAAATTTGATCAAATCTTCATCTTGTTAATACAAGTAAAATGTTTTTTGAACTATACAAATCGGACGCTCCGTTCTCTTAAAAACTGAGTTACCGTTTTTGGCCCTTTTTGCCCCATATCTTCGGAACGGCTAGACCTGCCTTTGACAAAAACTAATCAGCACGTCTCCTTATCAATACGAATCGAATGTTTTTTGAATTATTCAAATTGCTTCATCCGTGTTCCCGAAATCGTCGACGAAAATTTGTATCCGAACACACACACATGCACGCACACACACACACACACATACATCAATTTTCTCCAAGGTATGCCAACATATTCAGAAACCTCTGAAACGTGAAGATATATAAAAATTTTCATTTTCGATTTTTTTGCGATTACTTACCCTATGGAAAGTTAATTATAAATAAATCAATTTATCATCTCCAGAACATTAACAATCGTCATTTCATTTCGAATCAAATTCAAAAAAAAAAAAAGTTTCCAAATTTACACAAAATTGAAAAAGTGCTCCTGCATAGTCACAGTCTAAACGCATTTGCAAATAATTCTGTGCGACATTTTCACTTATACTGTGCTCAGATTGGCGGCATTTTCACATTTTTCAATAATTTTCACAAAATTGGAAAAGTGCTCCAGTACACAAACAGTCTAAACGCACTTGCGTAAGCATTTGTACCAGAGTGGCGCTTAGACTGTGCTTAGCCTGGGTGATTTTTTGAATTTTTAGTCCAAAATTACAAAAAAAAATTTTTGAAAAAAAAATTAAAACAAAAATTTTTTTTTCCAAATCAATTATTTTGTTGAAACAAGCAGAAAGTTCTTTGAATCATTTTAATCGGACGCTTAGTTCTCTCAAAAACTGCCATTTTTTTAAATTTAGCTCTGTATCTCCGAAACCTCTGGGCCTACCTTTGCCAAAAACTAATCAGCACATCTCCCTATTAATAGGAATCGAATGTTTTTTAAACCATTCAAATCGGTTGTTCCGTTCTCTCAAAAACTCGCTTTCAATTTTTTGCACTCTTTGCTCCATATCTCCGTAACGGCTGAACCTGCCTTTGCCAAAAACTAATCAGCACATCTCCCTATCAATAGGAATCGAATGTTTTTTAAACCATTCAAATCGGTTGATCCGTGCGCCCGAAAACGTGGACGAAAAAAAGCGGACATACAAAACACACACACACACACACACACACACACACACACACACACATCCATTTTTTCTGAAGTATGCCAAAATGTTCAAAAACCTTCAAAACGTCGAGAAATGTAAAAATTTTTGATTTCGATTTTTGGACGATTACTATAACTTACCCTACGGGAAGTTAAAAAAATATTTTTTCATTAATTTTTTTATATAAGTTAAAAAAATTTTGTGGGGGCATACCCCACAGGTTGGAAACACCATGTAAAGCCACTAAATTTTCAAAGTACATTAATCAAATTCTATTCAAATATGTGTAGAATATTTTCAAACCATGAATTTAATTAATTCAATCAAAACTTCGACTATATAAAAAAAAGAATGAAAACATCCATACAGTACAGATACGTTAATAATGTTAATAAAAGTATAACTCTTATTTGTAGAAGTTTCCCAAACCATTTACATAATGAGTGTATTTTGAGAAGTTTTGTGCTAATAATAATTTAAAAACATGATATATGCAAGTTTCAATAAATCTGATTACAGTGATTTGCATTGAATATTACAATGAACAATTACATATCATCCAGATATTGATAATTACGAGTTTTATTGACAAACTGCTTTGTCATTAAATTGAAATTAGTCAATTTCAATTTTCCAACACAAAGGTCAATATATTGGCAATTGAAAAAAGCATTAGTAAGTTATAAATATAAAAGTTGCAAACAAGTACTCGTTGTTCTGATACATATATAGGTAAATAACAATTCGAATATCATAATTATTCTCACTTTGAAAAATTATCCTTGTGATTATAATATATAACAATTTTTTTTTTTATTCACTATACTACACGACTGCCCAGTTAAGGGCATTTAGTAAATTTGTAATAGGGACATTGTATAACATAATGACATGTTAGAAAAGTAATTCAATAGTAGTTTTTTTCATTCGTTATAAATAATTTTAACAATATTTTAATGATAATAATATGAACTTAAATATTATTTTATAAATTATAACTAAGTTATTTCAATCTTCATCAGGAAAATTGATGACTTAAATCAATTAGTATATTCTATTAGTAAGGAGTAACCCTCAAAATAATAATAATATAGAAATTATAATTTTATAAAATGTTTTGTTTCATGCCATAGTAATTGTTGTATACGATTGTCTCTTCAACACACAATTCTGCCACAATAAATATGTATACAGTAGAGTATACTTGTCTATCACAATCACCTGATCAATAGTAACATGCAAAATGATATGTAAAAACAAATGTGAAAAAGAAAAATAATACAACAGTTAACAATTAGTTTTGCGGGGTTTGATATAAAATATTCTTCCTTTCAAGTTGGATTTCTTCTCCGCCGGCGAGCAGCCTTGCACGGTCCTGGACGGTGCAGAGGGCGTTTTGTTCGTGAAGAAACCAGACGGCAGGGCTACTGGTGATGCCTTCGTTTTGTTCGCCGACGAAAGTGACGCTCCAAAAGCTCTCTCCAAACATCGCGAATTAATTGGAGCACGATACATCGAGTTATTCAGATCGACGACTGCTGAAGTGCAACAGGTAATAATAATAATAATAATATATATATATATATATATATATATATATATATATATTAATCTAGAAATATGAACAAACAAAACTCTTTTTCGACTAATTTATTAAATAATAATTTTACAAACGTTTTGAGACTAGGTTTGTCTCATCATCAGTGTGTTACAATTTAAAATCTAAAATATGGAAACCTAAATTAGCATTATGTGTTATCCGTTACAAGTCGTTCGCTATACTGCCCCATCAACGATCGTCGGAGTCTGAATTCTCAATCAAGGTCAAGTAGATGAGTCACGAAATATCAAATAGGAAAGAGAAGGAATAGGGCCCAGTTGAAAAATAGATGCCGCTAGGAGAAAAAATATTCTATGAAGGGAAACGGTTTGTTTATAAAAATTGTTTTGAATTTATAAACATTTTGTTTTAAGTTTATAAACAAACCGTTTCCTTTCATAGAATATTTTTTCTTCTAGCGACATTTATTTTTTAACTGGGCCCTATTCCTTCTCTTTCCTATTTGATATTTCGGTTCATTTTAGTTCATCTGCTACAGTTAAAAATAACATTTTATAAACAACATAGCTGCAATAAAATAACAATACATAGTTATCATCTCCAATCATATTTATATTTACATATGAATTTTAATTTTTTAAGTAGTTTTATTAAATTTGATTTTTCTGTCATGCTTCATTAGGACGCATACAAGGACAAGGAGTGGTAAGATTATACAGAATTTTGCAACCATTATGACATTTATATTATTAAATCCTGTTTATCAATTATGATAAATATAATAAACATAAAATTTATCTTAGGTTTTAAATCGGTCTATGGATCCAAAGACATATGAAACACCTGCGCCACCTCTAATAGCGCAGCTACCTCAAGTGCCACTTTTACCACAGGTGAGTTAAATTTTATCAATTATCTAGGCTCAATAAATTTGTACTAATGGATTTATCAGTACAAACACGTGATCAATTTGATACGATTTTACCATATAAATTAATTAGCAATCCATTACAAGATTAATATAAATTACAATACATTGTATATTGTATATGTAATATTGTTTGGATAGTGGTAAATTTGCTGCTTGTTGATAAAAAGTTAAAGTATATTTTACTGCAGGTATATGAGTACAGTTATTAACAGAGTATTTTCATATTTACATACCAATTTCTTATGTGATAAATTAGATCAATATAACTTAAAATTATTAGATGCTTTAACGGCGTTTTAACTATAATACTTGAAGATCTCATAAAAGAAATAGTTATTTGAGATCTTGAAGTAGCCTTGAAATTTGGTATTATAATACATAAAAGTTATATATTTTAAGTTGCTCTCGAGCAACTCGAAGCGACGAAAGTGTAAATGTAAAATAAAAATGTTCCATTTCTACATACTTCTGATATTTCACATACTTTCAGCAAGTCTTCAATGAATTTAATCAATGCGTTTATATATTATTACTAAGAAATGCGATAGATATTTGAACTTACGCATAAATTAAATGCTTATTTTATTCATACCATATTGCGGTTGAAAATATTCAACAATGTGCATTGTTCTATAGACAAGGCTATTGTTATAGCAAATATTTAATGTGAATAAAATTTAGCATGTGATAACGAGTGGAACACTGAAAGACTGCATCAGACTGCGCGGGCTACCTTACGAAGCCCAAGTGGAACACATTCTACATTTTCTAGAAGATTTCGCTAAGAATATTGTGTTCCAAGGAGTTCATATGGTCTACAATGCCCAGGTATGTAAAATTTATTTTGATTGCTTCTGCCTGTATTGTGTTAATAAATATGTGTTGCTTAATTAAATTAAGGGTCAACCTAGCGGAGAAGCATTTATTCAGATGGATTCAGAGCAATCTGCATTCATGTGCGCTCAGCAGAAACATCATAGGAATATGGTGTTTGGGAAAAAGCAGCGTTATATTGAGGTAATTAAATACAAGATCAAATATTTTAGTGTTTTCATGCCTTAATTGTTCGTATTTGCTTTGCCAGGTATTCCAATGCAGTGGGGAAGACATGAACCTTGTACTGACAGGCGGTCTTCCTGCTCCAACGAGTCCAGTGAAGGCAGGTGGTCTGCTGTCACCCGGTATGTTATTATCTGCATCTTCTAACACCCTGAATAGTACATCCGCTGGTGTCAACATTTCAACATTGCCTCCCACAAATATACCTCCTCCAATGCCTACTCCACTCGCAGCCGGTTTGATACCCGGTTCCTTGTCTCTCCCAGCTGCTGTTGCGACAGCTCCACCACAGTCGTCAATGCCTTCGACAATGACATCACTAGCGCATACATTTTCAGTAGCACCGCCGATAATGTCATTTGCTCCTCCGACCTCCACTATGACTTCCATTCCTCCGCCCACTCAGAACGCTCAGAAACTGATACCGCCGCCGGCTATAAATTTGTCATGGGAAAATCCCGCGTTATACGCCCAGCAGCAAGCTCAGATGATAGCGCAGCAGAGCTTGTTGGCTAGGCAGAATGCTCAGAACGAGCAACTATTCTTTGCTCAAATCGCTCATAATATGAACGTCGCAGCTGCGATGGCTCAACAAAATGCAGCAGGTTCGCCTTCGGCTGCGGGGCTATTAGGGCTGCAACCCAGCGCTGCTAATTTAGGTTTGCTTCCAACTGCTATGCCGGGTTATGGTCATTTGTTACCTCAAGCAGGTTTTCACGCAAATCCTTACGTATTGGTGCCACAAAGATTGCCTTTGATAAGGCACCCCGGTTTGCCACAAGTTGCTCCTCAGATGGCTTCTCAAACGCCCGTCGCCCCATTGAAGCGATCGTATGAGCAAGCCTTCACGGGGGATTTGTCCACCCATGGCTTACATAAACGCCCTTACCCGGCTTTGCCTCAGGCTCCGTCCTCACTTGCCTATACACAGTTTTACCCTAACATGTAAGTGAATTAGGTACTATGAAGTTTAATCTTAAAATTTATTTTATTTTTTACTTTAGCCATTATGATTTACCAGATTTGATTATTCTTATGCGACATGAACGCGAATTTAATTCGAGTTTTACCCGACTACAATATATTGGGATGAAAATATGAAATGTTTTCCATATATTTGCTAATTAGGACTGTGACGTAATTAAAAATTATTATGAATTAAATTTTTCCTTAGATTTTTAAGTGTGACAAGTTGATATAAATAAAACATGACAGCATCAGTTCACAAATTATAAATTTACCTTCGACGATTTTCTTTAAATTTAGTATAGCGCTGTTGCTGTATCTTGTAGAAGTTTTTTTACAAGTTATGAATTTTATAAGCACAGCTTTAATGTAAGACGTTAGCAATTTACCTATGTGATAAGAAAATTTCTAATAAAAATACTATTTTTATATGATTAATGTTCTTAAGCATTATCATTTCTGTTTACTAAGACACTCCATTACGGTTGTGACATTAATGTACTTATATATAAAAATTCGTTTATTTTAAATCTTCGTTACCTATTGAATTAGATTTAATTAGAATATAACTTTGTTAGATATCTTTTACACGAATTGCTAATCTTCAAACATTATCGTTTCTGAAGTTTCTGAGAGGATATAACATTCCATAAAATATATAATCATTCCATGCCTTAGAAAAGTTTTCCTTGGTTCATGTGACTATGAGGTATTTGGGACTTTTCTAGGATAATCCACAATTCGTGATATTAACGTAATGTTTATAGGGATTCTTACAAATATAATTTAGTTGAGCTTGAATAACTATTGAACCATTATTTAAGCTACAATGATTTATTTTTATTTTTAAATCACTATATAAAGAGGTTAGTGCTTGTTTTAGTAAAATATAATAGTTATAAAAGTTCAAATTAGATATAGAAGTTTAATACATCCTTTATATTATATTTAACGTTTCTTCTTTAAAACAATGTTAATTATGCAGATCTTAAAGTCTGTGCTTTTGCCCATGTTTGTTTCATGAATATGAATTGCCTACTTTACATAATCATGATTTAATAACATACTTTACTTATTAAAGTTGTGTATATACATTTAATAATCTTTAATATAATGTTTAATGGTAGCTAAAACATTTTGTTATAAAAATGTGTTTTCCAACAGCCGCATTTATAATATGATTTTGCTTGATAAACTATGAATTCTTTTTTATCAAGACGATGAAATAATCGATGTTCATTTTTCTTAAAGTGAAGGTTGTAAATTTAAGATTTAATCTAGATTTTGGTTTTGAACAGAGCTTTAGATAAAGACATATTTATTGATAGTTATATATTAGTACTTATATATAATCAATTTTGTTTAATATAATCTATGTTCATCTTATTTTCATAATACTTTAAATAATACTGGTTGAAAATGATGGTTTGGCGTAAATATTTTGGAAACTTGTAATGATGTTAAATTATATTAATACATGTATAATTATTACAGCTTTCAAACCCTGCCTGCTATTAACTTTGCATGACAAAGCTCACAAAATCATATTTGTAGCACTAGGGGTAAATTATTTAGAAAGCAATGAAAATTCATTTTTATTTTACAAGCCATCATTTTCTCCAATGTGAAGTCCTGATATTGGTATGAAGGTTAGCCTTGAATATATTGCTCCTACTGGTCTGTAGCTTTCGCTAGGTTTAGTGATTGTTTCAAAATTTGATTTTTTTCAATTTTAATCTTCATAATTCATGTGCTGTATTTTTGGTGCACTAATCCTGCATTTAATATTCAGCACCACATCACAGATTGACGTTGTGTCTGTAGTAATTCTTTATAATGCAATCTTTCCTTGTTCACGTGATCAGTGTTATTAGTGAAGCTTTTTTTAAATATTCAAAGACTAGTAAAGGTCTTTTATATATAATTAACTAAAACTATAAAAAGCACTCAATTCAATACATAACACTGATTGAAATGTAGTAAGTATGAATACATTATTTTTTTTTCAATAGTTACATGTGGTGGTTTCTGGGATTTTATCTATGTAATATTACTAACACAAGTTTTTGGAGACGACATTTGAGGTTTCTAACTTTCCATTTGTCATAAAATTATTGTTTTCGGCAATGAAGAAAGTTTGATATGATTTTAATATATAAAACACACGCGATATATATATATATATATATATATATATATATATATATATATATGTTTAATTTGAGTTTAATAATCGGGCGTAACATCAATAAAAATATTGATCAATATTTTTATTGATGTTACGCCCGATTATTAAACTCAAATTAAACATATATATCAACATCAAATTCAAGACTATTCAAATATATATATATATATATATATATATATATATATAATATATATATTTATGTAAATATGTAACCATGCTTCGACTGAAAAATATGAAGATTTAATGCAAATTGTATTATGATATATTGGTGGCTACAAATTTTAGTAATTTTTCTTGGGCAAATATTGGTAAATAATAATTAATTTGAAATTAAATTTAGGTATAGAAAAAATAGTATATAGAATGACAAACATTTTTCGTCAAACTTCGTCAAACATTTTTTCATTTATCTCTTAAATTTGGTTCAAAATTTTCAATATTTTGCCAAATTGTGATTCATCTATTAACAAAAGAACATTATATATTTTATGAAAATAATTTCTTTATGCTGATTATTGCTAGATTTATTAATTATAAGGCAGTCGTTTAATTACATTTTTTTCTAATCTAAAATTTCAATATACTAATGCAAATTTTGAATACAAATTTATTATAATTTCTATTAATATATCTCATCAAATATTGATGTAGTATATTTAGTTATTTTATTTTATTTTGGATTAAGTAGCCAGAAGGTGTTCATAACAATGGCATAAAATCTTCATATTTTTCACTAGTTGATATATTATTGATGTTGTGGCTTACATATTACATTATATATATATATATATATATATATATATATTTCTAAGTTGATATATTTGGAAAAATATAACGGTTAAAACATCAACTTAAAAGAACAAATATTGTCAATTATTTATTTATACGTTTCGACACAATACGTGTCATCATTCAGCTAAATTAATAGAAAACAATGAATACAGTAACAATACAAAAATAATATTTAACATATATATCGTTATGCAATGTACACAGATTAGGGAAAAAAATAGGACAAAAACTATAAAAATGATAGAAGCTCAATTTGAAACAAAATTATAGTTTATTTTTTGTTTTTAAATAAAAAATTGAATATTATTTCTACGTAGATCAAGTAACTTAAAAAAAATTGAAATTCATTTTTAATTACCAAAAATCAGAAATAAAAAAGTAATTAAAAAATAAGTTTAAATATTAATGAGATTTACAAATTAAAATTTAATTTTGATAACTATCAAAATTAAAGAAGAACATTAAATAAATTAATAAAAATAAAACAAGATTCTGCAAAACTGCTAAGGTCAACATTATTTTCTTTTATTTAGAATTTGCATTAAGTTTTACACTTTTAATATGATTTCTACTTTTAATACAAACTTTCTTATAGTTCTATATAAAGAAAAAATTTTGATCTTAGAGCAGTGGTTTCCAACCTTTTTATACCGTGCCCCGCACATTTTTTGAAAAATAATGCTGCTCCTCTCTAATTTTTTTTGTAAAAAAATTAATTTTATAAATACTTAACTGATACTATAAATAATTTATCAGGTTACAGAATATCATGTCAAAATGTACATGAAAATAATTATATTTTCATTCATTTTTCATATAATTTCAAAGTTTTTCGTTTTTTTTTGGAAATTTTACTTGAAAAGTGCTATAACTTAGCACCTGTCTGGGGGATAGCGCTCCACAGGTTGAAAATCCAATTAATATGTTTAATAAAAAATATTTTTGGATTTTATACTAATAATTTTGTTTTTTATATCATTTTTATATTTTTCCATTTTTCTCCTAGTACATTATCATTCCTATTCTTATCCTAGTATACATAATTCTTATTCAATTTTTTATTTTATTGCCACTGTATTTATTCTCGTAATATTTTAGCTGAATGACGACATTTTTAGTGCCAAAACATATAAAAAAATAATTGTAAATATTTATTTAAATTTTTTATTTACA